AATTTTCATTCTTGCTCATGCGAGATACAGTCAATTAATTAATTAAAGTTTAATTATTGTCAATGTTGATCGATTTTTTACGGCCATGTAGCAGGATAAAAGACACTGTTCACCCTACCTAATCCGTGAAGATGAATTTACGCTGAGCTACACTCATAACTATACAGTAAGAATAAATATAACGGCTGCTGTGTTGCATAACACGAGGCGGCGAGACAGGCTAGCCTGGTTCACGCTGTGTGAAGGCTAGCCTGGTTCACGCTGCGTGGCAGGCTAGCCTGGTTCACGCTGCGTGGCAGGCTAGCCTGGTTCACGCTGTGTGGCAGGCTAGCCTGGTTCACGCCTGTCTCTTATACACATCTNGCAAGCTAGCCTGGTTCACGCTGCGTGGCAGGCTAGCCTGGTTCACGCTGCGTGGCAAGCTAGCCTGGTTCACGCTGCGTGGCAGGCTAGCCTGGTTCACGCTGCGTGGCAAGCTAGCCTGGTTCACGCTGCATGGCAAGCTAGCCTGGTTCACGCTGCACGGCACACTCCCCGCCGTATGCAGAGCCTAAGTAACACCTGGTTCATGTACTGATCAAACTCAGGAACGGTTAGCGGTCCTAGCGGCAGCGATGAAGTGTTTGAATAACGCTTCGGAGGCCTGCGGAAAGACCGGCCCGAGTTTTGTTTATCAACGCCTCCAGTGTACGACTCGTGATATAGCCCCTTGTTAGGGACCTGTTGTGGTATCAGGGGTTGGAATTATGATCTAATTTTGAAGCGATGTTCGGGATGGTGATCAAGCGAAGTGCCATTTTCCATTTTTGTTCGATATTTGTTATTATACTCGATTAGCATGAGCGTGTTCTTGTGTTAAGATTCTGTCATTAGTGCACACTAATGATTGACATACATCGCATGCTCACTATCTCTGTGTATGCCTAGGCCTAGGCATCAACAGTATTGTTTGTGATCTGGGTTGCGTGTGGTGTGAGTTGATACGCAGCGTTCTTGCCGGCGTATAAACTCTTCGGCAGTCGAGGTGTGTGGTGCCGACGTATACTCTCTTACGGCAGTCGAGGTGTGTGTGGTGCCGGCGTATACTCTCTTACGGCAGTCGAGGTGTGTGTGGTGCCGGCGTATAGGCGTATACTCTCTTACGGCAGTCGAGGCGTGTGTCTGCCACTGCACTGCGCTCTGCCGAGCAGTGCGCTCCTGTTTTCGTAGTCAGTTGGTGGAACAACATCTTGTATTACATGCAAGTACAATACTGAATCCTTCAAAATTTTTTATTTAATAAGTGCACCTTTTATCAAGTACTAAGATCTCTTGACTGCTTTGATCGCAAATTCGCAAAAAATTTGAAAACTAAGTATTTTCTCTCTAGGATTGTCGAACAGACGATGGAGCTGGACTCCGAAACTTTTTGGTGATTATGGTGATAACGGCACAAAATGGTGATTACGGCACTTTTGGTGATTACGGCACAAAAAATATGGTGTTTTTTTTGTGCCGTCTTCTTTGTTGTTAAAAAAACTTTTATCAAACAACGGAACTGAACTGAACTACCGTTTCGTCAAAAATGTATTCTGAACAAAGACTGCCGAATAGGAGGTTGAGATTCTCCGTGCTACTCAGAACACGGGCTTTTATTTGTTCTACGCCAGACATTTTTCCGTAGAGTTGTGAAGAAAAGAAAAAAAAAAGTTGTTGAAATTTGACGAAAAAGGTATGGGCTTTGTTTGAAGATGGGAGGAAAAATGCAGTTAGATACCTGAAAAACTGTGGCATTGGACCCTTTTGTTATTTATGGCTTTTATTGGATTGGAATTAGAAAAGACTGGCAGGATATCAGCTTTCCGCTCTGATGGACCTGGACTTGATGAGAAAAACATTCTTCTTTGTTGCCTTTTCAGTGTATTGGAAAAATATACCGTTTATCTAATTAAATTCCTGGAAATGTTGTTTCAAACAATTAATTAGTACTAGAATCTTCACTTGAATTGCATTACTTAATTATGTTGAATAACCTTAACTTCAAATACTTCCATCCATAGTTTGCTTATGCCTAAGTGAAAAATCATGAAGTGTGAAAAATTAAAAATTGTGCATTTCTATTGAAAAAAGGCATTAGCCGAGCGTGGGTGCATGCGTTCAATCTTATCTCTTTCTTATTTAACAGGACATTTTTATAGAATTCATGTAAAGCCAGCGGATGTTCAGCAGTGACGAAAGCGTCTTGCTGCCGTTATATTTCCGTGCTGTTGCTATCTCACCGCTCGTGCAGTTTTCTAATTCACTTATAAACTCTTGATTTTATTAAAAAAAATTGAACTACGCTTCTTTTCCAACACATAATATAGGATTTTATTCGAAATTGTTCTATATTAACCTGTTGTCTCGCTAATTAAGGTTAGAATTCAAATTTCCTACGTCGAAATTTCTCTCCCTATTTTCGATGAATTTTCTGCTCGTATACTGTTATAATTTTGTACTTGTTAGCAAGTAGAATTATAATGTTATTCTATAATAATAAATTTGAAAGTTTCAATATCAGATGAATACATGTACTATTTCAAATGTTTCTGTTAATTAGCCATACGAATTTTAAAAGATCAAATTAATATTTGAGAAGAGGACAGACATATATTTTAGCTGATAGTAGCTTGGTGCGAGCGGTCACGATAGCTATGCTGATTGCTATCAGTGCATTCCATCTGTATCTGTGCTGCGTACCGCGCGATGCCATCAACACCACGGGTGGCTAAATTTAGGTCTCTTGCGGCGCACCCGCTGCCCAGCACTCGTCTTCATAATCTTAGCTCTTTTCGGCTCTCCTTCTCGTAGTGATGACCTCTTGTTTCGGCTCTTTCCGTCTCTTAGTGGTGACCTCTTGTTTCGGCTCTTTCTGTCTCTTAGTGGTGACCTCTTGTTTCGGCTCTTTCCGTCTCTCAGTGGTGACCTCTTGTTTCGGCTCTCCTTCTCGTAGTGATGACCTCTTGTTTCGGCTCTTTCCGTCTCTTAGTGGTGACCTCTTGTTTCGGCTCTTTCTGTCTCTTAGTGGTGACCTCTTGTTTCGGCTCTTTCTTCTTTTAGTGGTGGCCTCTTGTTTCGGCTCTTTCTTCTTTTAGTGGTGGCCTCTTGTTTCGGCTCTTTCCGTCTCTTAGTGATGACCTCTTGTTTCGGCTCTTTCCGTCTCTTAGTGATGACCTCTTATTTCGGCTCTTTCCGTCTCTTAGTGATGGCCTCTTGTTTCGGCTCTTTCCGTCTTTTAGTGATGGCCTCTTGTTTCGGCTCTTTCCGTCTTTTAGTGGTAACCTCTCCTGCGTCATATCAGGTCTTGCCTGAAAGTCTTCTCTTCTCGGTTCTTTGGTTCTTTGCTGCACTTCATGGCGACCTCTTGTATATGTCAATTCCCAACGGGCTTTTAGCTCTTTTGGTCGAGTTATTCAAAAGAAAACATGAGTGTCACAAGTTATGTAATAGAAAACTGTTATTCAAGTCTTTTTCGTGCATGCAAATTAGTCCGCGGAATCTCGATTTAAACCAGCTAAATAGTAATTTTGCTTCAAGTTGCCATGCATGTACTTAAGGGTACTCTTAAATAACGTTAACTCGCGAGAGTACGACGTTTCGTCAGTCCAGATAATTAAACTATTTGTGTATTTGAAAGGAGGTCTGATAGTATAATAGCGTTATGAACGCGAACCCATGGTATGGACAGAACACGCATGTCCCAAAGGTGCACGGGTGAGATCTGCTTGTGCAAATTGTCCCTGAGCTGCTGGTGCCTGGGATGTGTAGGTCGTCTTGAGGGACCACAGGTGAGCTTGTCGCTTGCCATTATCTTATTTAATTCATTGAATCGTTAAATTTTACTAGTACGTTTTAGATTAACTCACGGGAAATTCAAATCAATTTCTGGTAAATGGGAAATGATAAATTTTACATGAGATGCTGGAAATCTCAATTCCTTTTTGTTTTAATTTACAATAGTAACCTTTTGCTTTAAAGATTTTCTAAATCGGTCGACTTCGCGCGTCTCAAAGCCCAGTCACCTAAGATGGCTTTGATTTATTCAATTCGGTTTATATAATTTATCGATTCATTCAGTCGATGGGAAAGTACTGGAGCAGATTTGAGGTCGTCGGGCTGCTGTTAATGAAAATTTCTCATTTTTCTTCTTATTATTTATTTTTATTTGGATACTTGTTGTGGCAGTCAAGTATCGAACTAAACCAGTTGTTGCCTTTGTATCGGTATATACTGGGCATCTCCGTAAAATATCCAGAAGTGATCAGATTATAGAACCATTTCCTTCTACTTAATTGCATGATGTGGTAGATGTGTCCGGACTTCTTATATGCATCAATAGTCTCCTTTAGATCTACTGTCTCTGCATTTGAATACTTGAATCTCAAGGCAAGTTTCCTCGAAAGGGAATATATAACTATTTTTTCCGTAAAATATTTTTTATTTTCTCGGCTTTTACCTTGTGGTAAACACATGTCTCAGCCAACTCCTTGAGAATGCCGTCTGCTATTGCATACTAATTGTTGAAATATAATATTCAATAGCTGCATGCAACTAAAGTTCATTATAGATGCTCTGTTAGAAAAAAACACATAAAACTTTATTTCGGTGACCGGCCGTCACGTGAAATAGAACACCGTATCGCCGTTTTTTCAATTTAAAACAAGAAACCCGAACAACATTTTGAAGAAATAAATGACGAAGCGGCTTATTTTAACGTTGCTGCTAGCCACTAGAACGCTTTTCAGACCATTTTCCCCGCTATTTCGATCAATGTAAACGTGGACATTATCTTGAAATTAAATTTAGTCGGTTACGGCAAACGTACCCTGTTCAGATGTGGTTGGATCGAGTCTGACAATTCCAAATCCTATTCGCCGCACGCTTATGCATGAGGCTCAAGGCAAGAAAATGCGTCTTATTTCAATTGAAAGCTTGACATCCTAAGCTTATAATTAAGATAATTCATATGATGTTTTGTGCAGCTTAGCGAGACTGGGGGCGTGGGAGATGCCAGCGGTGGGGGCAGCAAAGTCCCTCCCCCCACTGAGGGTGGGACCATCAGCCGCACCAGCTCCACCAGGAGTAGCCTGCGCAAGGTGAAGGTTTGGTGTAGTGTCACGATATGCTACCATATTTAAACGTGAACGTGTTTATTCTGTAGATATTGTCGCTTCATTTGTTATGCTTGTTGTTCTATTCTGCTATTCTAAATCAACTATACGGGTGTCTGACCACCAGTTCCATGCTGTGCTCATGCATTGAAACGGTGGAATTTACGGACCCCGCTCCGGTGCTCGGGCTATAATATGTACTCGGAAATTGGTTACGATTAATATTTATTTAAATTTGAATGATCGCTAAGTGCGTCTCGCGTAGAGCTTGTTCTGTGCACCTCTGGTGTTTATGATTCCATGTAATATTAGCGGTCTCTACTTCCCTGTTCTTAGTTGCACCACGTAAATAAGGCTCTCTATTGACTCCGAGTGTCTGCATAGCCAGACTTTGCACCTAATTTCAGCTCTCGATGACTTCAAGTTTGATTTGTGCTTGATATCCACCCCACCCGTGCATTATTGCAGCCATTATAAAATATTTCTGGGAGTGAAACATTATCCATGCATTGGGTCAGTGAACCAAAACGAGTTTGAAAAGGAAGCTTCAGCTATCACAAATTTTAACATCTCGTAACTTCATATATATTCTTCCATCAGTCACGTCGAGCCATCTCAATTTGAAATATGTTGAAAGTTCTAACGTTATTATATAGGGAGTAACTCAATTTTTATTCATTGTATAAGAGATAGACGAGTATGTTTGTTTAATATTACTATTGAATGAAGTTTACAAAATGCACTAATGTAGTTAAATATATTCTTAGGCTGGGAATAACGTTACGGTATTATATTTAGTGAAGATTATTGAGATACTCGAGAGCAATTTCTGCTAGTGTGCAGTCCAAAGAAGAAAATTATGTACAGGTTTTCTTATTGAGCGATTTTTCAAAGGTATATTACTTTGTCTAAGATGAAATTATGTTATTTTTGGCGCAGAAGCCAGTCGTTTATGTTATTTTTGGCGCAGAAGCCAGTCGTTTATGTTATTTTTGGTGCAGAAGCTAGTCGTTTATGTTATTTTTGGCGCAGAAGTCAGTCGTTTATGTTATTTTTGGCGCAGAAGCCAGTCGTTTATGTTATTTTTTGGCGCAGAAGCCAGTCGTTTATGTTATTTTTGGCGCAGAAGCCAGTCGTTATTAAATAATATGAATTTTTTTGGCCCGTTGCAGCTGCGTTTTTGTCCGCTTTGTCAGTGCCTAATAATTACGTATAGGCACGCCTGACGATATGGGACTGATTGTGTTGTGTTATCAGGTGCTGCCTCCCGTACCTGACTTCGACCAGCAGTTGTCCATGGCCAGCAAGATGATCGACCAGCGCACTTGTACACCGAAGGGCAACCATGCCTACAGTCCTCACTACTTCGAGAACATCTTGCTGGCCGAGTAGTGAGTTATACATCATTTAGTTATACTATAAAGAGTTCAGTTAGTATTCACTGAGTGTACCTGCCTGTTGTTTCCTTGTTTGAAAGTCAATAGACTCGCTATTCACTTTTTGAGTGGACCTATTGTTTTCTTGTTTGAAAGTCAATGGACTAAATTTGTATCGCGTACACGTCATTAGTGAGTACCTATATATTTATTTGGAATAGTATCTCTAAGGTTAATTTTATACGTATTGAGTTGCTCTTAATTGGCTGAATTCGTAATTATGACTTACGGGGTTTCATTTTTTTGGAAGCGAGGGATTGATTAATATTCTTGAGAAGATTAACATTGTTGAGAGATATTGTATGTTGCAGTTTTTTTTACCTGTCCTTCTTGGTGCAAGTGTTATTGGAGAGGCGGGCGCTTAGCTTTGTTTGGCCACCTCAAGCTTTTCGTTGATGAATAATTTCTGTTTTTTTTTTTTCAGTCAACTGTTGCAGAAAGAGCGGGTACAAGGCGTTTATGTTATACCTTCCGCCAAAAGCCCCTTGGGTGAGTGGCTATCATCAGAGTTTGTTGCACAATGTGAATGGATATCCGTATTACGATATATCTATACCTATTTATACGATATATTGATATTGTTTCATGGTATCTGCACTTGTGAGTCAGTCTTACGAGACTTTCATGAAGATTTTTGTGAAGTGGTCCAATAACTGTGGTATCTTAGTGAATTATAGAACCAACATTGGGTTTCTTACTGTTCTATTGAAACTTGATCATTATATTCGTGTGCTCTTTCCAGAAAAAGCTCTTTTCGTCTTGAAAAAGTCGTTGTGACAATTGGCATATCACCTTCCTTGAACTATGTTATGGTTGTTATGTTTTCTGCTATTCCCGTCCTATTTTAATGCTCTCTTCTATACCATCATTGATATTATGTGGCGATATGTGTTATTATTGTTATTATTATTATTATTATTATTATTATTATTATATTATGTTCGCAGTGTGGTTCGGTGTGGTGTTCGTGCGTCAGGGAGACTACCAGGAAGGAATATTTCGCTTCACGCTGCACATTCCTGAGAATTTCCCCGACGGCGCTGTACCGGTTCGTTGCTCATGGCCTTTTTACAAAGGATTTTGTGCCGCCGAAACAATCCTTTGATTTGAGTGAATAGTAGAAATTTTATCCTGCTAGCAATTCTTGTGAGATCATCATGGTATTTATATAAATATGTAAGCCAAGAAAGGGAAACGCTGTTTCATAGCTCGTGAATAGAAAATATTCATGAGCTATGAAACATAACGTATTCCTAATTCTTTGGTTTTAGAATTTGAGTAAGAAATTCGCAAGTGTTAATGAATGCATTTGTCGTTACCGCTCCTGAGATTCTTATGTTTTTTAAATTGTTATTTTTTATCACAAAAAGTCACTATTGAAATTAATTAACATCACATTCATTCATAATTTCCTTTATACATAAAATCGGCAGTATTATCTTCATCAGCAACGTTATTTTCAGAGAACAATTTTCACGAGCATCACGGCATTTTAAGGAATACTGTTCTTACTCAAAAATTTTATTATTACATCTTCCTAAGCGATAATATTTCCATGAAACATTATTCCTACGATCAATATTATTTTCAGAGAATATTATTCGAGACGCCGGTGTTCCACCCGCTGGTGTCACCAGACACAGGCGAGATGGACGTGGCGCGAGGCTTCAACTACAAGTGGCGTCGCTGCAGCAACTTCCTCTTCCACCTGCTGCTCTACATGCGCCGCGCCTTCCTCAAGATAGAGACTTCCAAGCCCCTGAACCCCGAGGCCGCCGTGCTGTGAGTGCTGCACGCTGTCCATATGAGTAGGGACTAAGACCCTCAACCCCAAGGCTGCTGTGCTGTGAGTGCTGCACGCTGTCCATATAAGTAGAGACCAAGCCCCTCAACCCCGAGGCCGCCGTGCTGTGAGTGCTGCACGCTGTCCATATAAGTAGAAGCCTAGACCCGTCGTTTTAGGTCGCCGTGCTGCAAGTGCTGGTAGACAGTATTCAGATGAGTAATTTCCACGCTAATGCCAAAATCCCAATTAATGTTCATTAATTTTAATAGTTGTATATTCCGACTTTTTGTTTCAGAACAATCTTGTTATTCAGCGTAGCCAACTCTCACTTCTCTGTGTTGCTCAGGTACGAAAGCGACCCTGAATTGTTCCAGCGCCGGGTGCGGGCGTGCGTGAGCGCTAGCCTGCAGAGCGTTTACGACCCGCCGGCGGCCGCGGACTACGACGCGCACGCCATCATATTCTCACAGTTTGACCCCATCGTCCACGAGCCCATCAGGAAGCAGCTTAAAACTCCTCGGGTGTGTAGAGTGCTACTCTCTCATCCGCGTATTGCAGGGAAATGTTTGTGTTCAAGCAAGCACATTATTTGCGATGTTTGTCTGTATGAAGCGCTCCTATGATGAGCGAAGAGCATTGTACTTGCCGTGTGCTGTGGGCCGTGATGTACCTATTGTAGTGTGACGTGACATCTATTGTATTATAAATACCATGCCACGGAACTTATGAGTCGGTCTAGTAATGAGCTACGGCGTCAAGTGCGGTTTATCTTGGCTTTAAGGTCCCAGAGGAAGATGGCTTTACTGGCGTATTGTTCATTTAGGAACAACGACCAGTGCTAATCCCTATCTCATGTCAGAAGTGTATGTCGCTTTTTCAATAATAATCTAAAAAATTTTCTTCGAATTTTTAACTAATGGAAGATGAACAAACTCTTGCGTTAAAGATTTATCTTGACTATCTCGAATCAGATAACTAACTAGAACGTTTTAAGACACTATTGATCAACATAGAGCACCACCAATATGTCATCAGACATAGCTTCGACAGCAAGGACTTGCCCGTGGGCACGTTATGTTAACACAATGAAAATTTTCGGGGGCCACTCTGACCAAATTGGCGGGCAAACCAATTGAAATCTTGCTAATTTGTACATTGTTTTAAATGCGTACAATTGAACAGAGCCTGATTAATGATTCATGACACAACTTTATGCCGAGATAGGGTTCAATCCAACGGCACCTCGTCCAACTCGCAATCAAAAAATTTTCGAGATCTTGTCAAGGCTCGCTTAAATGTTCAAAGAACACTGTTAACAAAATTCTATCCACCATAGTGTGCCGTGCTGTGTGCCATGCTCTGTGCCGTGCTGTGTGCCGTGCTCTGTGCCGTGCTGTGTGCCGTGCTCTGTGCCGTGCTGTGTGCCGTGCTGTGTGTCATGCTCTGTGCCGTGCTGTGTGTCATGCTCTGTGCCGTGCTGTGTGCCATGCTCTGTGCCGTGCTGTGTGTCATGCTATATGCTCTGTGCCGTGCTGTGTGCTATGCTCTGTGCCGTGCAGTTTGTACGTGTATGCGCACTGCTGTACCCACGTGATGTGTGCACTGCTAGCTAACTTTATCTGCCTTGCAGCCTCTCAAGACGAGCGCGGAAGAAAGCATCGGCGTTGGGCTGTCGTGGGTCAAGCCTGACACCATGCAGATCTTCTCTCAGCAGCCCAGCACCTCCTGACCCTGCCCTACGCCATAGCCGTCTCAGCCCTACGTCCCAGCACGTCCTGACCCAGCCCTACGCCTTAGCCGCCGCAGCCCTACGCCCCTGCACGTCCTGCTCCAACTATACGCCCTGGCGACCTCTGCCCTACGACCCAGCACGTCCTGACCCAGCCCTACGTCATAGCCGTCTCAGCCTTACGCCCCTGCACGTCCTGACACAGCCCTACGCCCCTGCTGCCTCTTTCGGGGTGCTTTATTCCAGCAAGGCTCGTCGCTCTTTTCTACTTACAGCTTTTAATTTATTCCTGTTGAGCAACAGATCATTTATTCTCCAGTCAGACGCTAGTGATGTTGACGTTCGTACGTTGTTACTAACTTAGATGAGTGCGCACGCGCAATTGCAAATGTTAACTACTAATTTTGCGTAGATGTGTAGTCCAGAACTTCAAAGCTAGAACATTATATATAATCTTACGAAATAATCAGATTTATTTAATCAAACGCATTCACTTATTTTACAAACAAACAGACATAACATTACAACCGTGAATATTTTATAATTATTTTCATAAGTAGCCGGTGACAAATGTATGGCAGAGCTTCGCCACTCAGCAGAGCCTATGAACATATCTAATTCGTACAATTTCCTTAGGATAATTCCGCGCCTTCTGAGCGAACATCTAACGTCACTTTGAATGTGTAGTATAAAAAATAGGGTTTTTATTTTTTTCAACATTTATAGTGTACATATTTCGTCAGTATACTGCCGAAACATGGTTTTTCTTTTTTAATCTCTATTTAGACCTTCTTTTTTGCTCTGAAAATAGGCTTCTGATTTTCACGTGTGAGCAAAGAAATGCTTCTCGATTTTTTTACTAAGCTATGTCAATTATGCGAAGCATAAGCCAACTTTTAAATCTAGGTACATTTTAGGACGACTGATCGAAAGATTTTTTTTTTTATATTATAGGTGCCAATTATTGCTTTTCTCTAGTGTAGTTAATGATGAACTTACGAATAATTCCATCAGGTTTTTATGACGAGTCGATTTTTATGAATTGTCAAGACGCATCCGTAGAACAGAGCCATTTTAAAAAACTAAGTATTGTGAGTTCTTTGTGTGGCAAATGACTTCAGGGGCCATACTTTCAAAACTCGCTAAGTGAACATAAGTATTTACGCTCTATTTTCTTGTCTATGATTGGTGGATTTTGCTTGAAAGGCCGTCAATGATTGGCTGATGAACTTACGATCTCTTAACTTTTTTTGAAAGTATAGGCCCAGTGCCTGACGTGAAGTGTTAAGGTTTCATGTGTTCAGAAGACGTCGTACTACTTCACTGTCGCGGGTTAATTTCCTGCTTATTTTTAAACTCTTTCTTGCTCAATCCAACTCTAAGAACATGAATTTCTTTTCTACTATTTATTATGGTGTGAATGTGCTAGTTTTGGGACCTCAAAAAACTGTTATCGTGTTGAGTGTAGGAAGCTGGTCTTGGTAATATCTGCGCTCCTTATTAGGTTTTCTACGTCAGCGATTATGTACTGTAGCAATTTCTGCTCTTGAACTGTGATGTTTACTGTTGTCGTGTACGGATAGAAAATTGCTCTATTGTTTATCATAAATGTCGAGCCTCTCAAATGTTTACTCTCTACGCCCAGTGTGGAGTTGAAAGACTAGTATAACCTTTTAAATTATCTTCAATACTAACAAGGTTTCTTCGTAATGCACCGCGTCTGCTCCTCATAATAACTTCAGGATATTTCTCCGTGGAATGTTTAAATGCCTTCATACAATAATTGAAAATCATCCGTTGGAAGAATGACAACAATTGTTCTTTGTAATGCAAGTTTACTGGTGCCACAACTTACCAATTATGTCGCTGTTTAACATTATTTGAATTTTGAACTGCAAAATTGAAACAATTAGTGCCTCTTTGTTATTTTGTTAGTCATGTCTTGCAATCTAGTAAATAAATGTCAATTAATGCAGGTTTCATTGAAGACCAGAAAGTATTTCTTATTGACAATTTTCTTGTCGTTTTTTTCTATTCGGCGAATTAGGCTCTTGATAGGAAGTGAATTATGTAATTCGCCGAATAGAGAAAAACGATAAGAAAATTGTCAATAAGAAATACTCTCTGGTCTTCAATGAAACCTGCATTAAAGAACAGCTTCTGCCAAACTACACCAATGTCATTTAGAGGACTTATTTGAATTACAATTGAATTTTAACCGGATATCAATTATCAATGCCTATTTTTTCAGGTTATTTAATGGAACAGAATAGAATAAATGTCTTTGTAATGAGATGTAACCACGAAAATATTCGGTCTAACTGTTTTTATTCCCTGCAGGTAGGGTTGTTGTTAATGCAATCTGTGATCTTGTTTTGACAATTTTAACAGTATTGTGTTTCATAAAGCTGTGTAGGTCAGATATTTGAAAGAATCCCGTCAGATTCTCGTTCTCGCTCGATTTTTGTTGCAGAAGTTCTCTGCATTATGTGTCTCTCTCTCTCTCTCTGCATGCTATAAGAGCTGCATTTTATATATACTCCATACCTGGACTAAAATTACTCAGAAATTTGGACATCATTTCTCGGGCATGTGTCACTGTTATATTTTTATCGTGGATCTTACGACCTTTATGACCTTATGATGAGTCCGGGACTTCTTAGTCCCCGGTCACGCTGATGCGCCGCCTTCGTCGTCCTCCATCTCCGAGTCGTCGCTAGGCAGGTCACCCCGCCCTCGGGTCCCGGATGTAATGTTGGATGTTTCATACGAGTCGTTCTTAACCTTCGTACTTTTACATGCCCTGGGATTTATTGAGTAATTATTTTGCTTGTTTCTTCTCAGTATTTTGTGGCTGTCATAAGCTGAATTTAAGAAAGCAGTATCGGGTACGTCGTCTGCTAGACGGGAACTCATTTTTTCTTAGGCTATACACTCAAGATATATGCTAATATATATAAATATATGTTAGAATATGTAAATATTTTTCAATATTTACATATTCTATTCAATATGTCAATATTTTTTAAATGAATATTAATTATATAAATATGTATTAGAATATGCATTCATTATTACGCTGAAGTGCCTTACGCGTGTCGTGTCATGACGCTGTCTGTACCACGACACGACCTGTCTACACCACGACACGACCTGTCTACACCACGACGCGACCTGTCTACACCACGACACGACCTGTCTACACCACTACACGACCTGTATACACGACCTGTCTACACCACTACACGACCTGTCTACACTACACGACCTGTCTACACCACTACACGACCTGTCTACACCACGACACGACCTGTCTGCACCACGACACGACCTGTCTACATCACGACACGAACTTAAGGTGCGCGCCTCCTGCTCATTTCCTGCTTAAAGTGAAAGGAAACCGGACTTAATTCGAGCACAACTCCACTATAAAATATCTGAGTTTTATTCTTCCAGTTAGATAATTTTTTCGTAAACATCTTTGTTTACATTTTTCAATTACATTTCTACCACAAATTTAGCTAAAATAATGCACACATTGCTGTGAGATTATTTATTTTTCACGTTTATCGTGAAGGAATGAAGTGATAAATCTACTCATGAAGCTCAATGAGCACACCTTAGCTCGCTTGAGCTTCAAGTGTCTGTGTGTCGTCTACTCTTCATATTGCGCATTTCTCAGTGACTTTTCAATGTATGGTTCCATAAAAATTATGCAGCTACTTAAACCTTTTTGTTTTCATCTAATAATACACCGAGAATTTGCCTCAGACAATTTATCAATATATTTCTCTGCTAAATTGTTCACTCTTGTAAGTTCCAACGTATCCTTGGTCGAGAAAGTGCTTCTGACCAAGATGTCATTCGTTTATACATAGTGACTGCGTCTCTATAACTTGTGTGATGAAGATTCATTAATAATACATTGCAAGTCACGACGTCTTCCTCCTCTACCGCATGTTACGTGTTGTACACCATAGGATTTTCAGGTGTCGATGTTGAATAATTTATTTTGACTTTAAAGTGTTTATTAATGTTAAGCTAAGATCCCGCGATCGAATATTAACATTTATTTGGAATTAAGAATTTCTTAGCTGTGGATGTTTGTTTATGTGGCCAGCTGGTTTAGACTTAATAATGAAACAGTTTATTGTTCATCATTGGCTTGTGTGAACGCCTGTAATTATTTGTTATGGAGTCAACTGGTTAATAGCGCAGGAAAGAAGTTGCCTGAAACATTAACAAATTCTTCGCGTGCTTTGAAATTTTACGTCTGTATTTTCATTCAATCTAAGTTTTCCTTTTTAGTTACAATTTTACGCGCTGCAGGATTTTGATTAAGTTCCTCTTCTTCGTCAAATTTTTCCGATTCATGAGAAAATAATTTATTATAAAAATTTAGTATCTGCGAAGGTAGGCTTGATATTATTACTGCCTGAATATAAATTTGTTTATTTGCTTATCTTTACATCAGCAGAAATCCCTTTATTATTTTCATGTATGTATTAGTCTTGATTCTTCAAATACTTACAGACCAAGTTTTCTGGACCAACGAAGACTTTGCCTGCGCGAGCGTCATGAATTATGTAGTATGATTTAGTAGATGAATACATTTTCTTCGTTATAAAAATTATAGATTGGGCCTTTTGAAACTATTGGCTTTTTCAATTAAATCTAAATTCTCCGTAAAAAATCGTAATGCTAGTTTAAATTTTACTTCAAACCGAGTACTTCTAAGAATTGTATTTCCCGAAAATTATTTCGTATTCAACTTCTTGAAGTTTTCACATTGTTTAATCGATGTGAACGTTATTAATTCATGATCTATAACGTTCACCCAATCACTCCCGCAGCTCCATCTTTATCTGTATTGCTATATCAAACACACGCCTTATCAAATGAAATGCGATAAGCTTTTACTCCGTCCGGTTTTTTTATTTTCGTCTGGTCATAAAATGAAACGGTGCATTCTCTGCTAGAAAGTTTACATTATTTTTAACAACTAAGTTTCCATAGTGGCAAGTGGCAACATTCTCAATTACTCGCGCTGTCTTCTCTTTACATTACATTGTTGCTTCAACAACTCTTGAATTGTTCAACATCAAGCCTACTTGAGTATATGGTTTTAAGATGGTACTCTAGTAATTTGCGTTCACTCATAACTCAAAATTTCATAATGTGTCCTTTCAATATTTTTTAATGAACTTTTTAACTGCCATGTGCAGTCATGCACAGGCACATTGTTTCTTAAAAGTCTTTCCATTTACACAATCTTCTACTTGTACAGCTGTAAATAAACTTCATAATTTATCTATACGCGTTTTATTTGACCTAAATGTTCACCTTGTGAATTGCTTCTCTTGTTACATGTCTTATAATATAATATCTCCTTCGAAATATGTCGTATATGTTCTCATTTTCTGCTTATCTCGGGGGCGGGGCATGCATTGTATGTGTTGTTAGAACCTTGAATCAGATGTGTGCTACAACACACTCTTTTAATCAACACTTCCCGAGCTGAGCCATTAGTGCAATTTTGTGTTTGCCTACACCTTCGAAGTTACTCTTCATATATTTTAGTCTGCAAATATGACAACTTGTAGATAGTCTTGCATTAACATGGAAGTATAATGCATTTCAGTGTGTGAAGTTTTTTACATTGCTCAAAATATACCTCGATTTGCTTCTCTGTCTCATGCGGCAGCGAAGTTCTCTACGTTGCAAGAGAAGGAGAAAAAACGCTGTCGTATAATGACTCCTGTCATTTCATTTAATGTGACTTAATCGATTGTATTTTCAAAATTTTCTCCCACAACGGAAAGTGCTTAGCTCTGTGCTGCGTTTGCATGAGGCCAGCAACACCTTATGACCTTATGATGAGTTTAGGATGTCGCAGTCCACGGTCACGCTGATGCGCCGCCTTCGTCGTCCTCCGTCTCCGAGTCGTCGTCGGATGTAACGTTGGACGTGTTATATGCAATGGCCAGTATGCAATAACAATGTATGCAGTATGCAATAACAATGGCCAGTTACTGCAAATTAAGCTATAAGCACGACTGCGTCAGTGCCCCCATCGACTGCGTGTCAAGTCCCTGGTCGTGCGGCCAGTTGGTCGCCGTAGGGCGTGGCGCTGCGCACGCGGTGTGTCGATGTCGTCCTCAGCGTAATTGATGGCGTGACTACAACGCTTAGCGCCTGACACGTCGAGCTCCAGCGCCTGCACGAGTGATAAGTGAGCATTAAATTGTGTTGTTACTTTGTTATTTTTAATTATAATGCTCGTTTTGTGTGGAGTCTCTCTTGTAGTTGATCTCGCTCGCTTTTGCGCTTGACATTCTTTGGTGCCTCGCTGAGGTATACCTAATTCCAGGCGTGCTAACGAACATCCTTCCGAAAAGTTTCTGCACCTATTCTGTGAAATTAAGTCATTTTTACTTTGCATTTTGAGGCGATGCTGATATTGATCCGCATTCTTAAAAATCACGCTGTCGCTCTAGAATTTATTCTATTGTTTTTTTATAACCGATATTTAGCTTTTATCGTAGGAATTGTTTAAAATGTGAATTTTCTGTTTCTTATTGTAAGCATCAGCGAGTAGAAAATTTGGAATGGAAATCATATTATCGTTTCAACAAATCTCTTTGCTATCATCTCACTGCATTAAAAAATCGTACTTCTGTTATGTTATTCATCTGTTTGTCTGCCAACTTATTCTGCGTTGAGTCGAATTTTGTTAATAAGTAATAACTTACAAGTTATTTATTGCCCGCTAAAAATTTAATAATAATCTCAATTCGCTTAATTTCATTTATTTTCTGACATAGCAGTGCGTAATTTCTTTACCATCCTCATGTTTATGAATGTAATTTTTTCCAATGGTCGTCTCTATATCGAAGTGAACAGGTATCATTTGTCATCACAAAAGCTGTTACAACTGAAACAACTGAAACTAACAGCATTTTTCTGACGTAACTTAAGCCTTCATTTAGAATGTGCCTCATTCGTTATCACTTGTGTAAATGTTTTTTTTTTTTCTTTTATGCTGCTTAACCCTTGGTAACGATATTATAGCAACGCTCGGTACGATAATTACCTTGTAAAATTATAGAGTCTGACAAGAATTAACCAATTATGTTCTGTGAGAAGAGAAAATTCTGTGCAAAATCGTAAAGGTCTTTCCTTAAGGGCTGAACATGTGAAGTATAGAAACAGAAACCTCCCTTTTGAATCAGAAAATTTTGAAGTTCCTCGCGACGAAACCTCAGCATCTGGTCTTACATTGAGTCCTCGTACTTTGTAGGGTAAATGTCTAAACGACGCCGCACATCTTACTTTGAGTCACAAACTCACAACCTATAAAATAGCTTAGTAATAACCAAGGTGCAAAATTGTTCGCCTGTACGAGGAAAGACCATAATAATTTATTATGGTATAATATATCAAGCGATTACTTAGGGCCCTTAATAAAATCTAAAATTGTGTGAAAATAACCTATCACAATTAGCCTGGCGCAATTCTCATGCAAATAACTTTTTATGTTGCACATAGCCTCATAGGTAAGATAACCTCACGCCATATTGAGGTGTACTTTCAATCGAATTCTACAACTTTTATGTCGAAATTCATCCGTTTGAAAATCGAAAGAACTGTTTTTCAATTCCATCATCGCAGCTTACGAAGGCACGCAGTGAAATTTTGCAGTGACCTTATGACCTTATGATGAGTTTAGGACGTCGTAGTCCAAGGTCACGCTGAAGCGCCGCCTTCGTCGTCCTCCGTCTCCGAGTCGTCGTCGGATGTAACGTTGGACGTGTTCCGTCTATTTGCCCTCATTTGGGCCAGCTGATGCAAGATGCTGTTGCTTGTCACTTGCTGAGGGTAGTTTCAACTGAATATTTTACACTATTACGCTGGATATCCTGCCTTACACTGAGCTCCGATTCTGACCGCAAGGACTTGGAATGCTCGGCTGCCAAACCGCGCGGTATGCTGGGCCGGATATAAGCAATAAATACCTTCACCTCAAGCACACTTGCTTCTTACTTGCTCCTCTCTTACTACAGCTCAACACTCTTATTTGTATCAGTGATTTAATGTAAGACACTTGTCACTTAATGTAAACACTTCACTGCTTCACGTATTGAATGCTATAATTTCATTCTACCGATCTGTTATTATTATTATTTTTTTTAGAGTCTTTTTCATATATAAAAGAGTAATTTTCTGAACACTTTCACACTGAACAATTTATACTCTTTTTTTTTACTGACTTCCCTTATTTTCCGCCGAAACACTGGATTACATCTCTCAGGCCCAGTCTGTACAATTAATTAACCACTGGCCATCAAAGAAAAATTATCGTCAACTGGTTACTTCACTGAGAGCTGGCCGCGACACGTACGTCCTATCCCGACGACGTCTAGTAGGGACGTCTAGTAGGGAAGTGCAGTGCATCACCACGCAGTGAAGTGCTGCAGTGCATCACCACGCAGTGAAGTGCTGCAGTGCATCACCACGCAGTGAAGTGCTGCAGTGCATCACCACGCTGTGAAGTGCTGCAGTGCATCACCACGCAGTAAACATCCCCCGAGTGAAGGCCGCGGCTGGACGGTGAGTGGTGGTAGTCACGCAAGGACCGCGCCTCGCTCCTCCACCTGTTGCAGTGTTGCGTGGTCAGCTCGTGCCGTACTGGCAACGCCCAGCAATGCAACGTCCTCTGTTCTTTGTGCTCACGCAGTCTTCTTTGTTATGGTTAATTGACCTTCATACTTGGTATTATGTACATTTGTTCTCCTTTGCTAATTAACTAAACCCCCTGCATTTGGTTCTGGGTAAATTTGCTCTATTTTATTTATTGGTTCCAAACAATATATTTTTTAATAGTTGTTAATTAAGATGTGCATCTGTCGCTACACAAGCTTGTTATCTATCCCATCATTAACGAATTCTATGTATTTTATTGGTGTAATTATTGCAGTATTTGGTTACTCAAACTTAAAGCCATGTTTGTAATATATTATGTTTTTTTCTGTCCCTGAAATGCTTTTTTAATTACTTTCCTACAAACAATAAAAATTTAGTAACTTCTGTTTAGTATAATATTCGCGTAAATTTCTATTGGCATGTTCATTATTTCAATGTTTAGTCATCTATTTTGCCTTAAATAATCTAAAATATTAATTTTTCTAGAGTAGCTGCACTCGAGTCATCCCATGTTGATGGCGCAGTCTATACATAGGCAGTATTTCTGCCCAGAGAGACCTCAACTTTTGATACCTTGAATCTGCTATAAACAAGTGAGTACTTACGCTGATAATTGAAATGATTAGAGTAAAAGAATTACCCGTAATACGATGTTAGTTAAGAGGTGCCGCCTAGAGTGCGTTGGTGGTTAACAGGTGCTACATTGAGTACTGAGTAGGTTGGCAGTTAACTGGTGCTACATTGAGTACTGAGTAGGTTGGCAGTTAACAGGTGCTACATTGATAGGTTAGTAGTTAACAGGTGCTACATTGAGTAGTGAGTAGGTTGGCAGTTAACAGGTGCTACATTGAGTAGCGAGTAGGTTGGTAGGTAACATGTGTTCTGTGAATACACCGGCACTCACCACGACGAAATTGAGCAAGCTGAGCCAAAATACCGCTGTGTGGTTTAGTCCTAATCGTAGCGGGCGGAAGCTTGCCTACCTTAAAAGCTGAGCAAGCAAAGCACTTAGCCTCTTAATGCATGAACACGACGACTTCTGTTCCTGGAAGTCCTGCGCACATCACAGCACTTGACCAATATTCGTGTTGACATCTTTTCAGTGCTGCTCTGGACACGCTCATAGAAGGTTGTGAGGACTCATAGCTCGACACATGCCCAGCGGATCTCGCTGATCATGCGGGATCACTTAATAATCAATCTTATAATTGATCTCGTGTTGGAACTTATTTTAACGTTTATATATTCGACCTGTTCAGCACCTGTTCGCCAGAAATCAGACTAGGAGGTGCTTCATACACAACAAGTCTTCAACCCAATCATAAATAAAAAAACCAAAGCACAATTGTTATTCGTACCTCGACACTGGATTACGCATAGAATCTTAGAATAAGTAGAAAATCTTTCGAATCTTCTCCCTACAGCACAGTTGTTTGTATTGTAATCAGTTAGAAGTCACTTGGCCTCCCCATGGATGAGGAAGATGGGGTGTTCAGCTTCAGGTCACGCAGCCCCGCTATGGGGATATCGGGGCTCAAGAGAGACCAGCAGAGGGTGAGAGAAACAGACAACAATTGTGTAAAATCCAGATGACTGTGAACAAAGCTGGATTTTACACGATCGTTGCAATAAATTTAAAACAAAATAAATTAATAATACGGAAATATTGAAAGCAGATCGTAATTAAGTTGTGTATGCAGGTGCTCGGTCCACACTTTCCTTTGAGACAATTTCGTATTAAATTTCATTGCTATTTAGCTGCTCTAAAACTTTTACTTGATTGGTTATAGTATGCTGTACGTTTGCAGTGATTACTTATCGAATTGAAAGTGAAACTAATATTTCAATTCTATGATTTTTCTATGATAAGCTTTTTAGTGGGTGAAATAAATATGAATAAAGTTTAAAGTTTGAAGATGTTCAACGACTGAAATCCAGGGATAAAAAAGCTAAAGCATTTAAACAGTGGATCACATCCAGTATACCGATTTTTTTCAAATATTCCTAATTCGTTACGATTGCGGTGGGAATCGTGTAAACCATGTTGATGGAAATGCATTTTACTTTCCCCAGTCGCCGTCAGTGCCTGACGAAGGAGAAGGACGACGACCCTCAGGCGGTATCCTACGTCTGGATCCTTCCAAGCCGCGCCGTCGCTCCTCCGCCAACAGCATTGATCTGAGGAACGACGTCGGTCGGCAGGTAACGTTAACGACCAAGTTATTTCTGAAACATTGAATGATGAAATTGCTTTACATTTACCTCGGAAAACCATTTCATCCTTCAGTAACGCTGATTGAATATTTCGAATAAATAAAATATACTGGAAGTCTGAAATTTAATTCGTAAAATGCAAAATTTCATTCTCGGGCAATCCATTTAATCCTTCAGAAAGGCAGATTGAATATTTCGAATACAGAAAACACACTGAAAGTCTAAAATTTATACCGTAAAATGCAAAATTTCATTCTCGACTGCTTAAACATCACTCGTAAATACCAGGCGATTTTATTTTGTAAAATAAAATCGCCTTTAATTATTTAAAATCCTTTAAATAATTAAAGTTTTCGGCGAACATTCTGACTTCAGGAAGGGGATCCCTCGTCGCCGTGCCCAAGCGACCGTCTCTCAGTGACGTGGGCTGACGGCGAGCGCTCTGTCAGCAGCGACACGTCCCTACAGCAGCGTCTCGTGGGGCGTCTCGACGTCGTTGACAACCCTTCTGTCACCAACCTCCTCCCCAGTACGTCTGGTAAAAAAGTTCTGCTTCAAGACATGCTGATACAATGGCTACTCAATTAAAACTATGTTTTGACAGTAGATCCATGCTGATGCAGTACCTATTTAGCTTGGAATAATGTCAACACATTTATAAACTACTAAACTTATGCAGATATAATACTTAGCGCCAAGCATGCTTGCACTTTAGTCTAGCCACTGGCACGAGTGCGCAGGAGTGATAATGCGCGCATAGTTTGCATGCGCCCAATCTAAATTATCTGTATTTCACTATTTCTTATCGGCTCTCTGGCCATTGGAGTTTGAGTGTCGTTTAAAAAAAATTATATGTACGTTTAGAACAGTTAGAATGAGTCTACGGATTTTACTCCAAACGTTTAATTATCTAATGTTTTTACGTACACAAATGCAGCTTCTTTCATTTCATTTTACCTCCTGCGCGCAAATTATAAGTTAAAATAATTAAGTCAATAATTCTTTTTTATTAGAAAACTATCTGGATCATTTTTCCAGCGTTTTACGTTCTGTACTAAAAAAGAATCAATTGTCATATATTGCAGGTACCTTGAAATACTCGTCGCTATTTTCCAGACTCGTGCATACCATCTCCAGGACCACAGTCGGTAGGGCACGCGTCCTGCATGTCTCAGGAGCCAATGGACCCCAGCAAGCTCATGCCAGACGTGCGACCCGAGGACGATGATGATATCAGCGCCAGCATCTCCGCGATTCTCCAGCGCTCCGATACGATGAAAAATACAAGGAAGCGCCGGCGCTCTTCCTTCCGTCGTAGGCTTACTCGGTCATCGACGCTGACGGACAGCTCCGGGGAATGGTGGGTGACTGGCGGCTCAGGGGGATCATGGGTTCTTGGCAGCTCAGGGGAATGATGGGTTCTTGGCAGCTCTGGGGAATGGTGGGTGCTTGGCAGCTCGGGGCAATGATGGGTGCTTGGCAGCTCGGGGCAACGGTGGGTGCTTGGCAGATCGGGAGACTGAAGGGTGCTTGGGTGCTCAGGGAAATTATCGGTTCTAGGCAGCTCGGGACAATGGTGGGTGCTTGGTAGCTCGAGGAAATGATGGGTTCTTGGCAGCTCAGGGGAATGATGGGTTCTTGGCAGCTCGGGGCAATGGTTGGTGCTTGGCAGCTCGGGGCAATGATGGGTGCTGACAGCTCAGGGGAATGGTGGTTGCTTGGTTGTGCCCACATGTCTGTTTTTCAATGTATTAAGTCAAGGTTCAACGCAGAAAATGTGATAATCCTGACATTACCGATGCACTCTGTAGCACGGTACTGGAGATGGAGTCTGATGGCGAGCTGGCCAAGGATAAGCTGCGCGTGTACCGAGAAGTTATCGCTGGAGTGCGGGAACAACCTTGGCCCATAAGCAGGTTTGTGTCGCATCCTTCACACACCGAACCGTGAGTTCCGGGCCAGATAGACGTATTAAACTAATTAACTGTGAGGGCCATATAGACGCATTAAACAAGTTTATTGTGAGGGCCATATAGGCCTATTAAACTGGTTCATCGAGGCTTTCTTAACGCATTAGTACCTACAGTTTGTCGTGATTATGAACTGATACGATTGCTAATGACTAATAATATTTAGGATCACGATTTCCTCATTTCGCTTATCGATGAACTGTTTGCTGTGGTCATTTTATTTGTCTATTGAATGATTTTTATTTTAACAATCGTACGTCATATAATAAAAAATGAACACCCGATTCACGTGGAAAGATAGAAAAGATTTACGCAACAATAGTTTTAGATTGCAGAAATTTTTCAAGTAAGTTGAACTTAGCGTCAATAAACATCTTTGAAGCATTGGTGGAAGTGGGAATATTATGTGAAATGTTCACGAAAAATGTTTATAATGTGCACCTTAGGTTCCTAAACAAATTTTCATAGTAAAGTTAGAAGAGTATAAGCCATTACTCTTGATTGGAATGAATATGTGTGCATGCCTGGACGTGTCCAGGAAGCTGAAGCTGGCGAGGTCTGCGCGAGCGTACCTGGCTGAGAACGAGGGGGCCGAGGAGGAACGTCTCGCGCAGAGCACCAGCACGCGGGACATTTGCTACCGACACTTCAGGGCCGTCAGGAAGGTGCATTTAATGGAACAAAGCATTTAATGGAACTATAGCATTTAATGGAACTATAGCATTTAATGGAACTATAGCATTTAATGTAATTAATTGTCATCACCCATTTGATATATTAGCAAGTTCTGTGAACAATAATTTCGTTTCAAGGATATCACAATGATGTGTTACAGAATGATTCAGCCACAATTAAATTTGACAAAACGTGGCTGTTCTTTTATTTTTAACGTTTTTTATCTTTTGCAGTCAATCGGATCCGGATTACTGAGCTTCTACAACCATGTTTCTGAACTTGAGCTCTGGCATGGGCGTTTTAAAAGAATCGAATCGCATTTCGGCAGCGCTGTTGCATCCTACTTTCATTTCCTTCGCTGGATAATGGGTTTAAACGCCATTTTGGTCGTGGTCACCTTTGCGTTTATTATCATTCCAGAAGTAATTTTCCCCGACTATTTTCCTTGTATTACTTAGCTAACTGTTCTTGCATCATGTGATCCAATATCGCAACTTGAGTTGCTTAGTACGCAAGTGTGCATCAATATTATCTTGATTCATTCATGTACTCAGCGATTATCTAGTGTATTAGTCATGTGCAGGCTCGTGTATCATTGCATCCAAGAGCCCATTTAACTTTTTTATAGCATCTTATGGAACAGAAACAACAATTTTTCACGTTCTCGTTATTAGAAAATAATTCCAATCACCGACCCAGTGCGTAAATAGCTATATTCTTCACCTTAATCTAATGAAAACAATTTCTCCGAAGCTCTTAGCTTCTACTCGCTCGAACACGGGGGAGCGGAAATTTCTCCTGGACGAGGAGCAGGAAGGAGGCTACGACTTTAAAGTCTTGTGGAACTTCGAAGGCATGCTTCGCTACTCGCCCTTCTTCTACGGCTACTACAGCAGGAGGCACAGCACTCCTGAAGGATACAGAGTGCCTGATGCCTACTTTCATACATTCATAATGATATTTGCCTTCAGCTTCATCATGATTATACGCAAGTGAGCTTCTATCGTATTTTAACATTCTAATTTAAAATGTTAAGAAAGTTTAACTGCATGACATTGTGCTACATGTTCTGTGAATGCGACTAGGTTTTTAATCATAAAGTTCTGGCAACATCGGTAATACTTTACAGTATAGTTTTACTTTCATCACTTATTTCCTCGTTTGTTTAGTCGTCTTACGATGAATGACACAAGCTGAATTTATAGATTAAAATATACGAAAAGAGAAAAATGTGCAAACGTGTTTTTATACTTGATTGTACGACGCTGAATCTTCCGTCATTATTTTCATAGCGTTTGCATTTTTCTTGATTTGAAGCTTGGGATATAAGTGTAACTAAACGTCGGAACTAATCACCTGATTGAAATAAAAATTCATAAAGATTTACATTGCATACACGATTTCTAATAAGTCACAAGTTTGGTGCTTTTCAGGATGGCAGCTAATCAGCGCATGTCGAAGTTGTCGTACGATAAAACTGAGTTCAGTTGGTCACTTCTGAGCGGCTGGGACTACGCAATAGGTGACATGGAGGCCGCGCAGAACAAAGTCGCTGCCATCAACATGGGCTTCAGAGAGCTTCTGCAGGGGGACAAAGAAAAAGAAAAATCCCTTACTGGGTAAATTGTCGTGAAAAGCAAACGCTAAATGAACCAGGCAGTTCTAGATAATTACGGACCATCCTTCTTCTGACATGAAAAAATTTCTCGTGAATTTCATCCGGAATTGTACTTAGATAGTTTTATTAGGTTTTTCATGACAGCTAAAACTGTCAATCGCATTGTAGTTAATCAGCATTGCTATGGCTTTTAATTCCCTGATCAATTTCTTTCCATCACTCAAGAGGGTCGCAATAGTTTTATTACTACTGTCAATATGAGTCAAGAATTTGTGCGGCTCACACACCCTCGTTCAACACGGGAACATAAAGACACTTCAACAAAAGGCAATATAAAAGTTTCAAAGATCTTCACTTATAACCAAATGTGTTTAAATTGAAAACCATTTAGTCCTAGCAATATTGTTAACCCATAAACCAATAAGCTTTAATCTTTGGTTGTTTTTGATACGATTCCAATAATGGCAACATACTGTATGTCCCTGCAGCTAAATATACATTATTCCTCCTATTGCATTTTTGTACAGTAGTGATTTAAATATATAAAGCTTGGTACGGCCGCCATCAGATGGCGCCTGATCGTGTGTCGCGGCAACATAATGACTGTCCTTGCAGCTATACATACATTATTCCTCTTATTGCATTTCTGTACAGTAGTGATTTAAATATATAAAGCTTCGTATGGCTGCCATCAGATGGCGCCTGATCGTGTGTCGCTGCACTGCTCACGTGCTGGTGCTTATCTTGCTCATTGCGAGCGCATACGCTGTGGTGCAACTCGTCGTGCGCTCCATGGAGGTCGACGAAACGTACTCCTGGTGGCGCCAGAACGAACTCTCTATCGTATTGACCCTCATCTCGCAAATATTTCCTTATTTCTTCAGTGTTAGTTCTGGATCTGAACCTAATGCCGATAAGATATACGTTTTTCAGGATCATGATTTTTTTTATATCGCCTATCGATGAACTGTGTATTGTGGTCATATTATTTATCCTCGATGTAAATGCGTTGATGTTATCAATTGTATGATTTTTTCTTCATTGGCCCAGCGAATTAACTGGTAAAATCTGATATTTCTGCGATAACATATTATCATTTTTTTAACTTTTCTTATATACTGAATGTTTCAAATTCATACTCGCTATACATGGCTGTTGTCCAATGAACGTTCCTGTCACCAGGTGGTGTCGAAGCTGGAGCACGTGTTGCCTCGCCAGGAGGTGCAGATGCAGCTGGCTAGGATCATGGCGCTCAATCTTCTTAACCTCACCACATTCGTCTTCACACTTTACCGTAGCATCACAGATATGGTGAGGTCCAACGAGTCGAGGAAGCAAATAATAAAATATCCACTATGTGGATTAAAACTTCACCGTTTACTTCCATCTCGTTTCCCAATTTCGAAGTGCCAACCTGCTCAATAATCTAGCCCCAATATCTAGTTCAAAGAGAATTACAAATACATATTAAACCAATCATTACAAATTTATTACATTGATTAAGAACGTATTGAATCAGTTGAGTAAATCTCACCTTTTTGTCACTTATGGTATGTTCAATTCTGCTTAAAGTTTAATATTCATCGATGGAGCAATAATTACACCGGATAAATTTCATCCCGACATCAATTTATGTTCCTTTATTTTCAGTCTGAAGACAGCGACAAAGAGAAAGATTACCTCTTGAACTCTGTTGCCGGCATGACTAGCGATGCTGCCACTGCCACTACTGGACCAGCAAACACGCAACTTCCTGCCAGCGATAACTATGACCAGTCGTTGTTCCTGGCGCTGAGTAACTCACAGGATCAAAGTCTACAGTCTTTTGTCAATATTTCTACCCCAGAAATTCTAGGAGCGGTTACATCAACCGTGATGATCGCTGCTGCTGCTCTGAGCAGCAATATATCGTGGTGGGGAAACAAGATGCATTTTAATTAATTTCAGCTGAGGCGAATACTTTTTAACCTAAACTAGCGTCTTGATCAATTAATTATCAAATCAAGAGTGACGCTTTAAAATACCTCGTGTGATCATCACACAATTTTGGTTGTTTTACATGCAGGAAATTTACTGACGTCGTCATGATCTTTCATATAAAATTTACCAACCATACAGACGCATGCATGGCATAATGAATGTTTAAAACTTATGATTTTTTTTCTAAAATTATTAAGCGTTATGTTGTTCAGGCCGGATTACGCGTTCAACTCGACGACAGCCCACCCGGCCCCCGAAACTCCAGACGCTGAGCGCAAGTGCAGAAAGGTCGCGATCCCGTGTTCGACGCCCACCGTTGAGTTCATAGACGACTACCTCCTGTTCCCCAATGACACGATCGGCGAAACTGTTGAAGCAAACAATGACCAATCTGAAACAACAGAATTCATACCAATTGACACTATGAATATTACATTGTCAGACAACGAAACACAGAGTGGAAATGGGACTGCAATAGCCATAGATTTCAGGTCAAGTGATGATAAAATGAGAGATGTAGGGATGAATTCAACCGTTTTTCCCTCGAATGCGACTAGTTATTTCAATGGATCAAGTGACGATGACTTTAACATACTGGTGCCAGGCAACGAGGATCTGATTAATCTACTCGATGAATCTCATTACACGCCTGCACAAAATTCCACAGCTACTTCAGAACCAGATCAGATACTCAACGTAACTTCGACTAACAATACGCGCTACAGGAGATACATTAATGAAGCAAGTTCAATTCCAGAAGAGTTTCAGTTCGTAGACGATGAAACTGTGCTTGAGCGTAATAAGAGACAGCACGACTATGACCATCATTTCTCTGGCAATTTGTACGATACGCGGATCTTCAACTTTGTTACGGAGGCAGCACCCAGTACCACTTCCCAAAAAAGCACAACCCAAACCTCTTCTAGCTCCTCCCTTTCTTTCAATTCTGTTTCATCCATTTTGCCTGTGAGCATCCCTACACCTACTTTTCTTAATTTTTATTCAAGAAAAAAACTTGACTTACAAGTTGAAGCGACGAAGGCAGACACCGAAGAGATGCCCTACAACGCACCTGCCAACTTTTTAAACAATTCACACAATTTAGAATCCGACTTGGTCGAGCTGCCTAACAAGATGGAAACATCCGCGCCGAGAACCAGTTCCAGCAGCTTCTCTGCAACTGACAAGATGGAAACCTCCGCGCCGAGAACCAGTTCCAGCAGCTTCTCTGCAACTGAACTTGATTATGACGTTGCCAATTCTCCTTTTCAATGCTTTGCATTTATTTGTGATGGTGAGTCGTACGTCCCATGGAGTAAATGAGTAATTTATTTCTATGAACAAATCCAGCCAGTGTTACTCTGAGAGGCTACTAATCGTCGGTACCAGAGCTGTTCGAAGAATATAGCCGTGCAATAAAATGTAATATTAGAGAAACCATAGTACGAGTTGGAAAATAAGTATTGCGGGTAAAAAATTAACAGTTTTAAGTCTACTTTAATATGAAAGCCACCATCGAATACATAGAATAGAATAGGCAACTAAGGTGAAAAAAATTTTGGTGCCTTTGTGAATTAAATTTATTTCATCTATTAATTTTTTTGCATTTTTTACACAGACAGTGATTCCAAGAATGGAGACAGCACTCCTCAACTTGACCGAGAATTCAATTCCACTATTGAAGACTCCGCCTACATAAACAAGAGTAACATATCCAACCCGGCAAACGACTCCATGAATGAAGAAAATTCCCATCAAATTGACCAGGAATTTAATTTTACTATTGGAGACTCGGGCTATATAAACATGAGTACCGCGTCCAGCCCGGCAAGCGACTCCAAGAATGAAGAAAATACTCTACAACTTGACCTGGAATTTAACACCACAACAGTAAACTCCACCTATCCAAACATGAGCGAACCATTTAGCCCGGCAACCGACTCCAAGAACGAAGAGAGTTCTCTTCAATTTGATCTGGAATTCAATTTCACAACAGAAGGCTCCATCTATTCAAACATGAACGAAGTGTTCAACCTGACAAGCAACGGCTCAGCTCCGAACTTGAAGAACGAGACGTACTTTATTGACGACGTGGTGGACGATGTCAGTGATTCGATTACTGACTGGAACGATGAGATGAAACTAGATCGTTTGGAAGACCTTATAACTGCGCTGCCGCACGCAAGACGACGGAAGCTCCGCAGACTGTGTTGGGAGACGGCTATTGGACAAGAAATCGTAAAAATAACAGTCATGGACCTGGTGAGATTGCTGATGTCTAGCTGAGAGTCTTTTATTGCCAGCATTATCACGGATCCAACTTGAATTTCATGCAAGAAGTAATAGTGTTTGAACTAAGGCGGTTAATGATCAAATAATTCATTGATTTACATTTTAGGGGCGAAAAGTTCTTTAGAAGACGTTGTTGGTTGATGAAAAGTGCAAGTTTTAAAGAAGTAATTGTAATTTATTGATTAACGAAGTTGTGAATTTGACAACATTCATTTTCATTTTATGAGAAGCATTGAAAACTAAAATTTACAGGAAATAAGTACATAATACACATAAATACGATACAAAACGAAAATTTGGAACGGTGAAAATAATTCCGAAACTCTATATAAGTTCAGAAAATCCGGTAGTTATGAGATAGATAGCTGGAGTCCAATTCTAATTCACAGAGATGGGGGTTTCAGCTATCAGTCGGATCATGCAGGGCCACTCCATGACGAGTGAAACTTGACACCAAAATTTCGGTTTCAAGTATTAGTGGCGTACAATTTTTCGTAATGTTGTTTTAGTTTTAGACGTCCCTTGGTAGGCATATTTAGGTGAGTTTCCGTACAGATCGTGACCATCGCCTTGATCTTCATCACCGAGTACCTACGCGCGGTGTTCGTGCGCTTCTGTAACTTCAGGAACTGCTGCTGGGATCTCGAGAAGCAGTATCCTGGATACGCAGGTTTCGACATCGCGGAAAATATTTTCCACCTCATCAACAACCAGGGTCTCGTGTGGTGAGAGCGTAACTCAATGAACTGTAGAAAAGGAACGGTTTTTGTACGAAAAATACTTATACCTTATTAGCAAATAATAGTAATATATTTTTTAATATGTTCAAATAATAAGTAACTGGAGTCGAAGATGAGTTGCTCACTAGCCCATTAATTTTCGGTGATCTTATGAGCGCAATCCTCTTCACAGGATGGGCATGTTTTTTTCACCATGTCTGCCAGCCCTGAATCTCGTGAAGCTTGTGATCCTCCTGTACGTGCGCTCCTGGGCGGTGGTGACATCTAATGTGCCTCCTGAGGTCGTCTATAAAGCGTCCGACAACAACAACTTTTACTTGCTACTCTTCCTCGCCATGCTCTTCCTGTGCATGCTGCCTGTCTGGTTAGTGGTCTTCTTGTGCATGCTGCCCGTGTGGTTAGTGGTCTTCTTGTGCATGCTGCCCGTCTGGTTAGTGGTCTTCTTGTGCATGCTGCCCGTCTGGTTAGTGGTCTTCTTGTGCATGCTGCCCGTCTGGTTAGTGGTCTTCTTGTGCATGATATGTTTTGTCGATACGGCATGAAGCGGAAGAGGTAATTCAATATTTTTTCCGCAGTATTTGGAAACCGCGATTTCAAATGGCATATTTATATGAATTATTGTTTGTCTTCTACTAGGTTAGTTGCTTTCAACTTTATTCTTATTCCTCTCTTTTTTATGAATATGGTACTTATTTAATGTCATATTCATTAAACAGTGTGAGGGCGCTGCCTCCGCTTAGTGTCCTTCTAGTTTAAGGGGGGCGAGAGAGAAAGCCAACTTTCACATACGATAAAGGTACCAAATCATCACTATGAGCGCGTGCATTTGTCCAGGTTCGTGATGGTTTGGGCCCCACCATCCTGGCATTGCGGGCCGTTCAGCGAGTACGAGCACGTTTATAAGATCTTCCCGTTCATCGACTTCATTTCCATCCCCTTCTTCGTTATCCCTGCGGTACTCCTACTCGTGCTGGCCATATTCTACTATGTATCGCTCACCAAGGCTCTCAGAGAAGCCAACGAAGACCTTTACGTAAGTTAGACACCATATTTGTTGTTTATCAATCTTATAACTTAATTTTTGTTGCCAAGTCATAAAAAAATCTTTGCATTTTTTGACAGGCTTATTTGTCTAAAGCTCCTTCGACTCTGAAAACAGTTTTTAACGCAAGTAGTTCGCGATGATGACCCAAGACAAATCGACAACTAATCTACTGAATTGATGAGACGACATCGTTGTAAGTTTACTAAGTTAGTCAGAAGAAATATATGCGAGGGACATTAGTGGGCACAAACTGGTAATTCAAAGCCCGTAATTAATAGAATGTTTGGTCAGGATCAACTCTGCCACGAACGTAACGAGGAGAGGAGGAAGACGAAGGAAGCCTTGGCCGGCGCGCCGGTGCTCGACACTCCATCATCCAGGTGCATACAACTGATCCATTATGTTTATGATGGATTTGAATGGTGGCTTAAGATTATTTTAGATTAATATGAATAAAAAATTAGCTATAATGATATTGGGCCACTAATGAAAATAAACTTAATATCAAAGTGGGTGAAGCAATCTAAACGTGGTAACGCTTTTGCAGCGTGTATCATATGATTTAGCTTGGACTGAAAAAGGGATAGAGTTGAAGAGCGGAACAAGGTAACATTGTGCTTTGGAGAAGTGTTACTGGAGAAGTGATTTCTGATAACAAAAACATCCTTGCAGTTCATTAAAAATCTTCCGAAATTCAGCATTGGGGCTTGGGATGTGTAATAAAAAAATTATTTTCAGGTGGGCTAAGCTAATCAACATGACGCCTCTGCCCAACCGCTCCCGAATTGCATCTCTCACAGCCAAGCTGAAAGCTGCCGCTGCTACAGTGGGTGAGTTAAGGGAAAAGTCTATGTTTAAATATATAATTACGATTCAAAATGTGTTTCGAGACTTTCAGTGATGAATATTACTTTATTTAGTGATAAGTGATTTAAATATTACTTAATAACGGTTAAAAAAATCCCTGTATCTTCGGGTTCTTGCAATCTACGGAGTTAAATTCATTCGTTTAATTTCGTAGAAATAGATAAATCTCAATTTAACCATTCGAAATGAACATTGCGAGGAACTTTAAACTCGCCTTTTGTGTCTGTTTGCTGCTGCAGACGACGACGATGACGATGCGCTGCGCACTCCTCTGCTGTCAGACGCCCACGCGGCGCCGAGTCTCCCAGGCGACGACTTGACGGACCTCGGACAGTCGGAGGTGTTCGACGACTCTCTCTCCGAGCAGCGCAAGACTTCACTCAAGCAGGGCTCACTCAATGACAAGCGCTCAACTGTTTCGAAACAAGCAAACGATGCTAAAAAGAGAGATACGATTCCCTCAAAAGATAATCTCGGCAAGAAAGCTCGAGAAGATTCTGTAAAAAATGGAAGGAAAGGCCGAGATAGATTGGAGTCGCAAGAATCTGCAGGCAGTCAGATGCCGAAAAGCCCTAAATATCAGAAAAAAAGTAAGCGATTTTCTTTCCCTGATTCTTTTAACCAGGATACTGCAGCACTGGAGTCTAAAAGGCAGCCTCGAGACTCTCTGAAGATAAGGAAACATGCACGGGATAATGGAGAAGCGGCTAACGAAGATCTTGCGCAAAAAGACAGCACTGACTCTAAAAAGAAGGAAACTTCTTCAACCCCGTACGTGAAACAGAAACGAAGGCCGACGTCGCAGGAAGGGCAGGGCTCCGAAGAAGCTCGTCGTAAGCAAACTTCAGGTAAGCAATCTACGCCGACTAAGGACCCTTCTCATTCCAGGAAAGGATCTTCCAGTAGTCAGGAACGCAAGAGGAAAGAAAGGAATTGGGCATCACTGGAACGGGATCCTCCTGCATCTGACAGCCCTCTAAGGAAGTCTCACAAGAAAAAGAATCGAGGGGGCGTCCCTCCCACGGTGGTGGTGGACCAGCACGGGCCAGACATCGAACAAGAAAAACTAGTTCAGGAGTCCTTGGTCAAGCAGGAAGGAGCTGAGGACGACGACAGCGACATGCAAAGAATCCCTGTTATCAAGGTTCGTTCATCTTTAATGTATCAAGTTATCGTACCATCACCAGTTAACTTGACAGTCCAGAAATTTGTCAGCTAAAACGGAGCAGTAAACACCATCCCGTTTGGCGCACAATCTTCGTTTAACTTGAAGCACACGCACACAATAAATTATTTATGTGTAATATCTCTACGAGTTAACTGCTGATGGTATGAGCAAAATAAAAATATCGTTGCAGTCAGTAAATAACTTGGAGTATTTCTCTTTGGTTTCAGATCAGCAAAGAGGACAGCGTTGAGCGCTCCATCGAGCAAGCCAAGTTGGATCGTCAGAAAGCAATCCAAGAAGACGACCTCAACCCCGACGGAGAGCAGATTCCGATGGCCGACGACTCTGATGCCCCGACACTGCATGACCGGCCGCCATCAGCAGAAGGTCACGAGGCGCACTACAGAGACGCCGCACCACGTCCAACTTCCTCTCAAGCAACCGACAGCCCCGATCTTAGCTCAGTGACTCGAGCTCAGTCGCACACAGCCGATTTGCATAATAAAAATGTTTGCGACGGTGAAATTGGTGAGCAAATTTGCTCGACTAACATGACTGATTTCACGAGCCCAATTTCAGTATCGTCTTCTGCGTTCTTCCCTCCGCGCGGTCCCGACAGTCCCGATTTGACAAACCCATTGTCATCTGCGGCTTCTGAAGCCAGAAATGCATCTGATAGCCCAGACCTCACCATTTCAAATTCGATCTCGACTCCAAGCTCCAGCTCATGTAAGACTTACGTTATTCCCACGAATATTGAGACTGAAAACAAAACCAAGTCAGGAGCTGACGTTGCAACGCAGGAAGCAGGACCAGATGAAAGAACTGATCCTCCAGAGCCTCCACAACGCACGTCATCTCTGCACAAAATTTCTCGCAGTAACTTGGAAAGTAAGAGTATTAAACTAGCTAGACATCAGACGTTACCGGATAAACTTCCTGAAACAATTCAATCACTTGCGGATAAGGATGATGCCTCAAATGATCCCTTCCAAACGAACATGACAGCACCCAAAGCGGCGGTAGAAGACGATTTCCTTCCAAATGACCATGATGGCAGGAACAAACAGAACGAGTAACGTTGGAATTTCTGAATTGTGATGTAAAAATATGTTCACTTTTACGAATGCTACATTTGTAGCCAATTCATTTCTATATTTGTATTGTTAACCATCGATATTTACGAAGCTCGATCGATATTTACGCAGTTTTGGCCCATTCTTGAAGTCACTTTTTCTGCAACCGAAATATGGTTGCAGCTTTGCTAGCTTTGATTTAAACTTTCGGATATTAATTACAATCGATTTTAATGCACATTTATTGGATTTATGGTTTCAAACGTTTTTTATTTCTTTTTTAGAAGACAAAGTTTATTTTTAAGAACAATTCCCATGAATAAATCCGTTATCAAAATATGATGGCAAAGATTCCTTTCAATATCGCCTGCCCTGGATGCACGCATTAGTTTGTGAGCTCGCACGCACAAACTAATGTTATGCGCCTTGTCAGCAGAGTACGTACTTTTTTCTTGCAAAGAAAGCCATCACATAATTACTTATCCTCCCTCAAAGAAAGCCATTACATAATTGACTAATGTTATCATGTCCATTGAAGTCAACTCATAAGTGCACGTTATACACGAATTTTACTAATTATGGCATCTTAATTACGTATGCCATATCCGCACTGTGCCATCAATCATTTCAGTTGGCTCAATAATCAAAATGTAACCTTCATTCATTTTTCTCGTGGCTTTCATGCAAACATCAGAACGACACATCCTAAATTCATCTCACCAGGTTAAGAATACAAAGGTACGTTAAAACTGAGGCTGATTAGTCCTGTGCATGAAATCCAACAAAATACATGGCAATGATTAAACAATATTTCCCAAAGTTCTTTGCAAGTGCACAGCGAGGCGATCACCCTTTCAAGCACATCAAGTGGGATAGTCGACATATTCATAATTATCGGGCACTGTGTCGAGCACTAGCTGAGCTTCGGCGTACACAACAGTTACTGAGTATCACGATAATTGAAGATCATCAAACTAATGAGCGGATTACATTAATAAACACTTTCACGACTTGGTTGCAAGACATTGAAGCGAGAGATTTAATTTTTCTCAAGCGGACAAGTGAGGTTAACAATACAGTAAGTTATGGTCGAATAAATGTTCTTCTGAACCTAGTGACTTGTTCTCGAAAAAAAAAGTCGCGTATTAATTCACAAATACCCTCGCTCAGACATGAAGGCTATTTTATAAAATCTTTTGAACTTTTCATCAATCTTTTGAACATTTTATAGAATCTTTTGGAAAAATTCCTCCAACATTGATCATTTTGTGCCTATGATAAAAGAATAGGTAAAGAAACTTAAGTCCAATGGCAGATAAGTGAGATACGTAATAGGAAGTTAATAACAAGGAAATTACGTGTGATCTAAATACATAGGCGTGGTCTAAGTTTACTTCAACACTGGATTGAAAATAAAAATTTGCAGCGACCCCATGAGATTAATTTCTCCTAATAAAATCTGAATGGAAAGAGGCATCTATGTCATAGAAACTAATTAAAAGTGTAATATTGGCGAGATAATCTTAGCTCCGAATGACTTTCAAACTGAAGAACATGAACAACCAATTTTCGTAAACGTTTTTACTTAAAGATATCACGTTTGAAGATGATCTCATCAAAATAAACAATGATATAGTAATCGACACGCAGCAGACTTATCGTACAGTTAGCCGAACTGTTCAGTTGCTCCGCTTGATTACATAAAAATACGCCAAGCAGAGGTTTAGTAAAAATCGCTTAAATTAGATCATATTTCCAAGTGGAGATAGAGCATAAAAACTCAATTGCCATGACTAAAGGTGATTAAAGAAAGACTAGGATTAAACACACCAATAAGTGCCTACAGTATCTCCGTAATTTGAACGTGTAATTCGAAAAAATTGAAGCAGGTTAGAAGGTGTCATACCTTTTGAATAAGGTACAATTTAGAACTTGTGAAAAAGTGATTCAGGTACAACTGTAGTAGCTGTTGGAGTGGCTATTTTTTTGCTGCGCTGTAGAAATAATGACCATCAAAACTTAGACATGTCTTAAGGAAATTTTGAGCAACAAGTAGCTCAAACCACCAGCTTCTTGCCTTCAATGAAGTTAGCTAGCATCATATATTTTATTCTAAATGTATTTGTGAAACACAGAAAAATTTCACACCCAATCAGTTCTTACTTCCAACAAAAGCCGATGTTCAATGCCCATTAGTTTCTTCTCAAAACTAGAAATTCTTTCACGTAATGAGCTGCTAATATAAGTAACAAGACAGAGGACAACTAACGACGTTAAGGGCTAAGTCACAAGCTTATTCTAAAGCTAACATCCTGATGAGTGAAGGGGGCAATGCGGTTGGGATGGACACAACCGCTCCTTCCTCACTTGCTGCCTCTGGGGGCGAGAGGGGTGCCCTTATCCTTGCCCCGCAGTCGAATGCCTGGGGAACAGGAAACTCGGGTGAGCAACTCGTGCAATTCAGGGCCTATACTTAAAAAAAAGTCGAGAGATCGTAAGTTCATCAGCCAATCATCGACGGCCTTTCAAGGACAATCCACCAATCATAGACAAGAAAATAGAGCGTAAGTACTTACGTTCACTTAGCGAGTTCTGGAAGTATACGTCCTGTGCTATAATACCATAGGTGGTCAAAAATTATCTCTCTTATCATACCGTTGCAGTAATCATCCTAATTATTCAACCTTGAAACTGCACCACATGCATATTTAAAATAAGAAGTTTCTCAATTACACTTTTAGGAATAATTAAAAATTCTATGAACGTAGGAATCTAACGTCATAGTTTTCTCACCAATAGCGCGTTCGATCTTGCCAAGAATTTGCTGGTTGGGAACACCCTTGCCTTGTTCGTACTCCTGAATGACTTGGGGCTTCTCGTTGATATTCTGAAAAACACACTAGCTGATCACAACCAGTTTTAACGCAGACATATGGCAATTTTAGTAGTTATTGCACAGCCATTGCAAACATCAACATCTTGCAAGCGTAAAAAATTAATGCATTCAAATTTCACAGTAAATAAAGAGTTGCCTCAGTACTTCAATATTTTAGAAGGTGACATTTATTTCCTTTTAAATATGCAGCATTTGTCATCACAGTGGTCTTAAGTTCAATCTACACAATAAGGAATATCTAGAATGGAAATTAAAATTTGAAAATAGCTAAATATAAGGACTGACCGTAGCCAGATCCTTTTGAGTCCATCCTTTAGCCTGGCGGCCCTGCATTATGAGCTTGCTAACATCAGCAGTAACTTTGCTGTGCTTCAGTTCTTCGTTCTCGCGGTCAAGGCGAGCCGTGTTCAGGGTTGTGGGGTTCCTCCGATTGGATGCAGCACCAACTGATCAATAGATATTTAACTATAAAAATATAATGTAATGTACTTCATGCTTTCAATGACAGGGGTTTCATACCTATGAAATATATTCTAACCAGTTTCATAAAATATTTTATTTTAAATAAAACAAGTCACTGACACTTTTCACACAACATAAAATTTTATGTCTAAACACAGTGGGAAAAGGTAAAGCTCTTCCCACTTCAAATTCTTAAAAATTCTAGTTCTAAAAAGCCTGAAAAATTACATTGCAAGACCCAGACATATATTATTTTATTTTCAACTTAGAATGCATTAATTTGCATCAGCATACATTATTGGCACACCTAAGGTAAAATTTGAAATTTAGCATCAAAATATACATACACTCTAATAGAAAACAAGTGGGGAAAAAGCTTACAGCTAATGTGATCTCTATGGGTAAATTCTTTAAAATATTTCTGTAGGACTGTAGCACACACAACATATTGACTGATGATCTCAGAGACAGATATACCGGTACTGCATTTAGAGATCAGTCATATATAAATACCAAATGAAAGCCAAGTTAAATACTCACATTTAGTTGAAGTTTCCACAGCTGCACCAGCACGCCTGGCTTTGTTGACAGCCTGTGAACAAATTAAGAATTTTAGAAAGCTGCACTTTAGCTAAGGGAAGCCACCATCATGGCATTCAGTACCTATGTAAGGTCTTTAATGCAGTATCAAGGTCAGTACGCTCATTGCATTAACGTGATACTAAATCTACAACATACTATACAATGACCATACAAACTTCACCTCGATTTGGATTTGGGGCATGGTGACAATGAAAAAGGACATTCCAGAGTCAGGCCTTTACAACGGTCATCAGCCACGCATCGCATATTCATTTTGTTAGTAGGAAAGGAGGAAGGGAGACCAAGCCAGGTAGAAGCCACATTAAAAAATAGGCTAGATGGGCGTGAAAGTTTGTCTCAAGAGTGAGATGAAGAAAAAACAAGGGGAAGAGACATTCAAGAGGAAAATTTATTGGGTTTATTATTGCTAAATACCATTTATTGCACTGCATAGTTTACATCTATATTAGCTATGGGACTTCTTTTTAGCCCAGAATAACTATTTGTGTTCTATTAAAATATTATTGATGCAGTTATTCTCATTTTGAGTTATTCTCATTTTATTATTGCTTTTTTTCCTTACACCCACTGGCCTCCATTTTTGCCAACCTCCTCCTCTCCCTCATTCTCCATGCACTCTCCAAAAATTGCTTTCTGCTCTCAGTCATAGCAGCAGTCACCCCTGTTGACAGACCCACTATCATTGCAATCCATTTGTCTCCTGTTCACGCATACATCACACCATCACCCTCAGCCAGTATTACTCTCATCATTTCCAGGCTCTCCCTCTCATATGCATCACACTCTGTCATCATGTGCTCTACAGTTTCCCTTCTGCCCTCTGTCACACATAAAACAAATATCCTCTCTTCTTTCATTCCACCTGTATTTCCATGCATTCACACTCAAAGCATTTGCTCTCACATGGAACATCAGGTCTCCACCTCTACTTCTATCACATATTTACCTTGGCATCTCTTTCATCTTGTGCAATCTCAGGCTGTCCTTCCTCATTCAGGCACAGCCTTCCTCGGGCTGTCCTCATTTCTTTTCATTCCTAAACTCTTAAACCATGATTTCACTCTCTTAACTATTTTTTTCTTCCATTCTTTGACATCCTATTCAGTCCCTGTTGCACCCTGTACTGTTATCATCCATTCCTTTCTTGGTCAATTATTCGCTGGGCAAGCCCATGTTTCAAGTAACTCACACTTGCATGACACTTACGTTCTCATTTGCTCACTCTCAAGTTCCACAGGTAAATCTTATGTGCCACTGTATATCATCCATTCTTTCTAGTTGTACTTTATATTTCAATGTTGCTTTAATTCTTCTCTCTCTAAACATACTCCATCTCATATCTCCTCATAAGCCTCCACTGCAGTCCATCTGGGGGGCTCCAAGAGCCAGTCTAGCTATCCTATTCTGTAGAACCTCCAATTTATCCAATTTGCCTTCATTCCAAACAATAATGTCCATTACATTCATAATCACAGGCACTGCCACACTTTTCCATACTTCTCTTAGAACATCATATTTACTTGCCCTCATTCTTGCTGCACTGCCCAGTAATCCTAACAACTGATTTGCTTTACCAAGACTTAACGCTTTAGTTCTCTCACATCCTTTTTGGTCAACACTCATTCCCAGGTATCCATACTCTTTTGTCATCCCAATCACATTTCCTTCCAGCTGCCACACTCTATCCACATCCTCAGCTGCTCTGTTCACAACCAGTACCTGACCCTTCTCTGGGCTAAAGCACACAATGAAATCCTTGCCATACTCAGTTGTTCAGTCAAGCCTACTCTGAAGTTCAACCCCATTTTCACTCATTATTGCTGTATCATCAGCATAAAGTAGAATTTTAAGTCTCTCATCTCCAACACACACTCCCACATCCATTCTTCTCAGTCTAGCAGCCATCTCTTCAGTTAGGGTTTGTACTGGTATTTAGAAAAACAAATCCAAGACTTTTCCATGATTCCATGACATCAATATAATTTTCCAAGACTTGTATACAACAGGTTTAGCATGACTGAAAGACTAACTGTGCATATTCTATTATCTCCTACAGTTAATAAATAGAAAAAAGGGGTAAATGTATAGAGCAGGCAGACACAGAGGAACAAAAATGACACAAATCTGAAAATCAAGCCAACACTGGTATTATTATGAATTCTATAGTGTCAAATCACAACAAATATTGCGCAATGCAAACAAGATTTTATATGATGTCGATACAATTCAGAACACTCTTCAACACCACTACCCTAACATTCAACTGGCAGCTATTTCATCAACTCTTTCTTTAATGTTCTTGGTTTTGATACAGAAATGGTTAAAAATTGAAATGAAGTTTTGACGACACTAACACGTAACAGCACAGCAATGTTCCCTAACAGGCTAGAGTCTTAAGAGCAAAACCCAAGTTCCCAACATTTTCCTATTAATACAGAAAAGAAACATCTGAACCAACAATTAATTTAGGTGTAACGGAATTTCTTATCGTTGATTACATCCCCTCTCATATTTGGTGAGCCGAGGCTCTGTGGTAGGTATTCACACACAGATTGCATTCACATCATATTTGTTTTTAAAGCAATAAAATGGTCAAATAGCATGAATGTTGCTCCTGGTACAGTAGCTACTGTTCTTTTGCACATCTATCATTCATTTGACTAAAATTCGTGGCTTCATGCTTTGAACTTTGCAAGGAATTTGCTTTTGTTTATTGTGCTGCGGAATTAGATTTAAATCATTATTAATTTTGTGCATCCTGCATAATCAATGGCAATTTTTTGCAGCCTAAGCCATCTGCAGAGTTCATTAACAGGTGCACAAATCCGTCTGAAGTGGCATTATTTCCACTCGGGTCTTTTCCCACACCCACCGCCACCTGCAAATCTCAACCAAAATGTTTTATTTTAGTTAGAATAGTTAGGATAGCCTACACCAACAGAAGCTTTCTAATAGCTTTTTCACTTTTATTTGTACTCTTCTTAAATTTATATGGCATTTTTTTCATTTTCCCCTTTTTTAGATGCATAANGCCTAAAAACTCTCTGCTTTGCCACTATGCATGGCAGGTTCTATACAAGGCCAGAGGTCAGAGGAGGACAAAGCAGAGTCCAGAGTGGTTCACGGCTGATTGGTGGATGTTCAGAGAGATCCAAGATGTTCGATTCAGGGCTTATTGGTGCACAAAATTGGTGGTGTATGGCTGCGTGCCTGCGCTCCCATGTGGAACAGCCTCCCTGCCCTCCCGCTCCCTGTCCCAGAAGATATTGTTGATGCTCCAAGTATGAACACATTCAAGAACAGACTACCGTAGACAAGGCTCCTGCGCTGCTCCGCAGGAGCATATGTTTAGCCTTGAAATCCCTAGTAGGCTAGTACTAGTAGTAGGCTAGTACCCTATGGCGGATGGCCTAAGGCTAATGCCTATAGATTAGTGAGATTACAGAACAACAGGTCTAGAAACAATTTCAAACCTACTGTCCATAGAAAAGATTTGATCAAAAGGCTTTTAGATCTGTGAAGTTGTGAACTAGTCAAGAAAAGTACAATCTTTGACAGGCATATGCAGGCAGGAGGCAGTAGGCTTATTCTTCAACACCAAAGATAACTATAGTCAATAACAATTAACAATACTGCATACCTATATGATTTCTAATATATTTATAAACAATGGACGAAAAACTTTTACCAAATTCAAACCACAAACAAATCACTCAAAGATTATAATGTTATTTACCAGAATAGAAATGTTGGTATTTTACAATTTTATTTGTTTACATGTCGTGAGCGGTGCATCATGGAAATGTCGAGTGCTTATTCATCTATTGACATGCAGGTTACTGGGGTGATAGGGGTCGTCTCACGAGTGCATTCATCAAGGATGATGACATCACGTACAGCATGAAGCTGAGGATATAAAGCTCACCTGTTCAGTTTTCAGCGTCGAAGCCTTTTCAGGTTTTTTTCGTAAGATTGTTACGGTGTCCCAATCGCTATCAGCCATTGCAGATCCGGCAATACAAGTAAATTAATCTCAGGAGCGATGAGCTACACAACCAACCAGCCGCACGTTCTGGATGTTTCTGATTAGCCGAGGCCCAAGACTGCATTGAAATGACTTACGAACTATGTCAAAAATTTGTGCGCAGTTCAAATAATTTTCGTAATTATCGAAGTTAACAATATCTGTTAATGTTAACTAGTCGACATTATTCATAAGTAAAACTAATTAATTGTAAATGGGTCTTTACCTCATAAACTATTCTGTTCAGATGAGTTTTGCTATTGGCAGTATTGTTACATAAATTATTACTTTACGTTTTCTGTCCAAAAACTTTAACCAACACTGCACAATAACCAACCAACTTTAACCTTAACCAACACTGCACATGCACACGCATGGATTACAGTGAGTTTGAAACTCTTGGGATATTTATTACTCGTAGCATGAAGATTGCTTCTAATTACTAATATACCTACAGATGTATTACAGGTATAAAATGAAATCAACATTTACTCAAACAGGCTCGTGGACGAGTGGTTCTTTGGTTCAAAGAATTCCGTAGTCATGGAAGGAAGCAAGAAAGTCGAATCGTTGGCGTGGCAACTGCCAGCTCCAGGTGATGTGACGGGAATAGTGGAATACCGTTTCAGAGTGGATCTGGCCGTCGTGGTCTTAGCATAGCAGGTTGCACGTCCATTTTAGTCTCAAGATCCTGATAATTTAGGTATCCATATTTACTAATTTATTGCCCACACCTTTTATCAATGGCCCAATGCTGTACGCAATATTTGCATTCAGCGCAGTTTCTTGTTTTTTTTTTTCTGATCTATCCATATTCATGATATTGGCCAGTTGGCCTTTTTATGCTTTTAACTTTAAGTTCTGTTCCAACACAAACAATCCTTCAAGTCCTTGTCTGTTAATTCCTAATTGGCTGATTGGGATACAATGATACATGTTCAGGCAATTGATTTTATTGTAACTTGTTATTGTTAATAGTGATAGACGATAGTCATTAGTCTATAAGTTGGCAAGTTGCCAGTTGGAGACTTGAAGTTGCCACAACACTTCATAAATTAATTCCATAAGTTGCCACTGTGCACACACTTCATAAATTGCAAGAATTGGCTACTTGCATTACTACTAGACTAGTCTTAACACAGTGGCAAACCTGAGATTTTTTAGAATCAGTTCATTTTTAATTTCCAAATTTACTCAATGTTTAAACTAATTTCTTATGCTGGCATATGATGATAATGCTGGCATCCATGATTATTATGCATGATACTTTACTGGTCTACTTATTAGAGTAGGTACTCAAAATTGAACTTGAGGTAGTCTAAAAACTCTCTGCTTTGCCACTATCACCAGGGTGGAATTCTAGAAATGGAAGTTCACTTATAAAAAAGCTTTCCACCCAAGGTGGAATGCTTTCCTTAGATACAGTGCTGTGCCAAGTGCCAGCCTGCCACAGGCTGCCAGGTGACTGACTATAAATGAAAAGGAGGGTCAAAAGTGTACCAACTGTTTCAATTGTACAGTACCTCAGATTTGTTGTAAAATTGTTTCATAGATATTTTCTATTTTTCTTTTATTTAATGGATTTTTTGAAAATTATCCAGGCTTTTTGTTTGTAATGATCAAGTTCAAGTTGAGTATTTAGTTAACCAATAACCAGTACTGTAGACATATACCATATTTGGGGGCAGGGCTTATGTGCACAACCAATCACAGCTTGAAAGCATCCCCATCAACCAATCACAGCTTGAAAGCA